ACTTCCCTGATATTGGGAAGAAAAAACTCACACAAGTTCAAGAAGCACACAGAGTCCAAAACAAGAGGATCCCAAAAAGACCGACACCAAGACACATCATAATTAAACTGACAAACACCAACGACAATGTAAGAATTTTAAAGGCTGCCACAGAGAGACAAAAAGTTACCTATAAGGGATTTCCCATTAAACTGTCAACTGATTTCTCAACAGAAACACATCAAGCCAGAAGGGAATAGAATGAAATATACAAAGTGATGCAAAGCAAGGGACTGAATCCAAGAATACTATACCCAACAAGGCTATCATTCAAAATTGAAGGTGAAATAAGGAGCTTCAGACAAAAAGGGCTAAGGGAGTTTATTACCACCAAGCCACCAATGCAAGAAATGCTAAAGGGACTGCTATTAAAAGAAGAAATCAGAAGGGAAGAAGGAACACAGGCATAAAGAATAAAAATGGCAACAAACAAGTACCTATCAATATTAACCTTAAATGTAAATGGATTAAATGCTCCAAACAAAAGACATAGGGTAGCTGAATGGATAAGAAAGCATGACCCATATATATGCTGTCTACAAGAAACCCACCTCAGAACAAAGGACTAACACAGACTGATTGTGAAGGGATGGAAAAAGCTTTTTCAGGTGAATGGAAATGGAAAAAAAAAGCTGGGGTAGCAATACTTATATCTGACAAATTAGACCTCAATGTGAAGACCATAGCAAGAGATAAGGAAGGAAACTTCATAATACTAAAGGGAGCAATTCAACAAGAGTATATAACTTTGGTAAATATATATGCACCCAATACAGGAGCACCCAAATACAAAAAAAAACAAAACCAAACAAACAAACAAAAAACTTCTGGAATATATCAAGGGAGAGATTAACAACAATAAAGTTATAGTAGGGGACTTTAATACCCCACTAACACCACTGGATAAATCCTCTAAACAAAAAATCAGCAAAGAAACATCAATACTGAATGACTCACTGCATCAGATGGAATTGACATCTTCAGGACATTTTACCCCAAAGCCACAGAATGTACATTCTTCTGAAGTGCACTTGTGTCATTTTCAAAGATAGACCGTATATTGGGTCACAGGCAAAGTATCTTCAAATTCAAGAAGATAGAAATCATATCAAG